AATTATTAAAAACTATATATTTGCCATGCTTTTCATTATTTACCTAATTGGTTGTTTATTATTACATAGAAAACATTTGTATAGCTCAGTGTGAAGTTTTTCCATGATAAATGACAGATAGTCATGTAAATAAATTTTTATATTAAATCCTTTATTTTTGAGAACTTATGCAATTATTAAGAGTGTATTTGCCATATCTTTTTATTATTTTAATTTACCTTTTATTACGCATAAATAACTTTATATTATATATACAATCAATATATAGTTCAACTTTTTTTATTATTTTACTTTTTCTTCTTTTTTTATGCATAAATAACTCTCTACATATACTGTAGATATATTACAAACAATATAATCATGTATTGTTTTAATAAGGGAGAAATAAAATCACTATTGTTGTATATTTACAAAACTTATTTAGTAAACTTATGTCTTTTATTAAACTTATGTACATGCATATGTATACATAACTGCACAAAAATGTCTCTAAAACACAAATATTGCGCAAAACGTAAACGTATGTAACGCAAAATATGTATACAGAACTGTATTCACATGATAAGGTATTTGTCAATGATAAAATCTTACTTCGACTCTGTTTGGTTATTACTGGCAGTAGTGAAAAATATATAGTATACGTGACATAAATCTATAAATTTTCAGTACTTAAGTCAGTAAAAAACAAACGCAGTCTTCGTAATTGATGTATTCTATTCCGGTGTGATGTGAGCACTCAGGTGTTCCGCAAACTTCATACTTATTAAGTTGAAAAATAGGCATCAAAACGACGATTAGGACGCGCTTGACATGCACGCGACACTCGTCGAGTTGTCATAGGCTGCTTTCTTTTTAGGAGACACAGTCGACACAAGTCATTCTGTCTTTGTTCAGTATTTAGTGAGAAACAAAGACAGAATGACTCTTTTGTCGACTGTGTTTCCTAAAAGGAAAGCAGCCATACGCGCGAACGAGATTACTGATCACGTTGGATTATTTTCGGAGCAATGAATTTACCGGCGATGCATTGTAGGTACGTATTTGCGTCATGTCGCGAGTTTTTCAGTAAACTTAAGCAACAGTTAAATTTCTGTTGCTATTTTGTTACGTATTACGGTATTTTTTAGTATGTCGTAAATTCTATCACAAGATCATTCACATCGAGGTTATGTAGCGCATTATAAACATCCGCGTGTTAATAGTACGTAGTACTTTTATTTAGCAACGTGTTTCTTTAGTTTCTTGTATTTATATATGTGTTATAAATTTTTTAATATAGTTATACTATTTTATTATTTTTTTCATACAGGTTGAGTTTTTTTATGACAAATGTGTGAATTGCTGACATTGAAGTATAATTTTATTATATAAAATATGGTGAAGCTAGTTGTGCCAAGAATACATTGGACAAGATTTGTATCTTTGCAATGTGTGAGTATAATATAAATTTTCTATTGTATGACATCACATGCTTAGATATAATAAATAAGATGTAACGATGCTATCGTTACGGCCAAGACCGACCATCTTTCCCGACCCAAAAACGACGCATAGCGCCAAATAAACTTTATGAGAATTGCAGCGTGTATTGACTATACGCTGTCGGCGTACGGCCCGCGCCGCGCGTTCCCCGCGTCAACAAACGGTTGACATTTTGCCGCACCGCGCGTGCCCAGCGCCCACAAGCGGCCTGCGCGCCGCTCTCACCGCGCTCCCCGCGCCAACAAACGCCAGCTGATACCGCGCCCGCACCGCGCGCCCCGCCGCGCCATGAAGCGACAAGCGTAACAAACAGATTGTTGTTTTCCGCGCCTTTTGTCAACCGCGCTCCGCGGAGAACGGCAAGTATAAAAGCTGGGCCCAAAAACGAAAAGATCAGATACGCATGATCTTCAAATCTAGCGAGAAGCACCTAGGAAAGCTTCTTCTCGGTCGGGCAAACCGACAGTGACTCAAAGATTCGATCCTCTTCGAGAAAATAAGTTTCTTATTCTCTCCGCCGGGTAAACCGGCATCCGTTCCGCTCAGCTCCGGGGAATCTTTGATTCTCCGCCGGACAAACCGGCATTCCTTCCGGAGAATCTTGTATTCTCCGCCGGGCCAACCGGCTTTTTGTTTAATTCGCTCCAAAAGAATCTCGTATTCTCCGCTGGGCAAAACCGGTTTTCCGTTCAATCCGCTCTAGGAGAATCTCGTATTCTCCGCCGGGTAAACCGGCTTTCAATCCAGGAAATCGTTTTTCATCCACGAGCAAACGAAGGCGCCGTGCTACGCCTAGCGATAAGGCCGATCGACCCGCAGAAATAAATTTTTGTAAGAAAGCGTGTTTCTTTCGTCTGAAAATCACTGTATAAATATCCTACAAATTCAAACAAAAACTTGCTTTACTAGAGCTCACTTTTCAAAAACTCACGTTTCAAGATATTTTTACTTAACTCACTTTTCCTAGAATTTACTTTTTCAAACTATCGTTACTTAACTCACTTATTCCAGAACTCAATTTTTGAGGTATCTGTTCTAAAATTTACTGTGTAAATACTTTCATTTTTTAAAAATAAATTCTTATTATTCTATTTCTTGTTACAACATAACCGAGTTTATTCTGATTACTTAACCGAATCCTGATCCCGACGAGCTATTCCGCAGCTTAATAAATTTAACTAAATACGACGGAATAAACTTTGACGCGAAAACGTCAAACCGTTATAAAGATTAGAATATGATAATATAAGACTTGCATTTTTAGTTGTCAGCAGAGCCAAAAGCTATACTCGATGATAAAACATTAAACTTGATTTCTAACTTTTTAAAACAAAAGGCCGATACGAGCAGTAAAATATAGGTTGGTCGTGTATGTGTATGTACATATTATATCGTTGTAAGTTATTGACATTATTTCATCTATCTGTTAGTGATGTAGTGTACTAAAATATTTTTTCTTAAGTAAGTGAGTTTTATATATTATTTTTAATTTACTATGATGTTTGATTTGCGCTTATTTTATTGATTGTTATTTCTTTTATTTTCTTATGTTAGACTTAAGTTTTTCATATTGAAGAAGGTCCAAAATTGTGTGACCAAAACGTCTATATTTATTGAATAAAGACAACTTATTATACACGACCAACCTGTATTTTACTGCTCGTATTGGCCTTTTTTTTTGTTTTAAAAAATTTTGACTATTTCACGAGCGATTGATTGATTTTGATTTCTAACAATGGCCTAAAATATAGGCATCATCCTAGTATTGTCAAACCTAAAACACCAGTATTCTCAGCATGGGCATTAAAAGAAATAGAAAATATCTTGAAAGGAATACACAATTGTATATATCCTTAATATGTTTACAAACGGAAGCGTCCCGTTTGCCCACGTTGCGATTGCCCACGTTGCGACTGCCCACGTCCCGATTGCCCACGAATTGCTTTTGCCCACGTCCCGATTGCCCACGAGTTGCTTTTGCCCACGTCCCGATTGCCCACGACTTGCTTTTGCCTACGTTACGATTGCCTACAAGTTGCTTTTGCCAACGTTGCGATTGCCCACGAGGTGCTTTTGCCCACGTTGCGATTACCCGCGAGTTGCTATTGCTCACGTTGCGATTGCTCCCGATCTACTTTTGACCACGTTGCGATTGACCACGGTGGTACTGACTACGCGTTGCTTAAAGCCGAAGAGCCTAAGCACAATAAAGAAAATATCAGGCATAAAGATAAGGATTAACGAGAAGGATTAACGCACAAAGCGTTGAGAAATAAGAATAAGGGTATTACGTTTTGTTTTGTTGTGGTAAAATAAAATATTCCTTATCTAGAAAAGTTTTGTAAAATTTTTCATATAACATTTTGTCGTATAAAGATGTAATCATATATGTACATTTATTTATATAAAATGTCAAGTGTTGATTGTAGTTATTTATTATGGTCAAGAAATGTTGTAGGTATCTTTGGTTTAATTTGTTTTGTCGCCATTTTTTGTGATTGCATATTCTGAATAAACAAAGAAACAATAAATATAAATATGTATTATGTTGGGTTAATTTAATTTTGTAGAATTTATACATCCAAAAATAACATTGTATTCAGTTAAAAATATGTATATTTTCTGGATAAAAAATGGTTGATTATAAATAATTGTTGAGTTTCAAATATTGTATATGTGACGATTTTATATTGTTGTAGTTATTAGAAACAATCTTGTTACATATATTTGTAGAAATTATTTATGACTTCTGAGTTGTATATATTTAAATCAGGTAGTCGAATTGCATATAATATTGACTAAGAAATCTAAAAAAGATATGTGCTTGGAACAATATAAGTGTAATAAAAACATCTGTGTAGGCAAAGACGCATTATATTTAATTTATTAAGTAATTTAACAACACAATGAGACCAATAAGCCGTTGTAACCACAGGTGGTGCTCAGGTAATAAGCAATAAGGATCATTTATGGTATAATAGACAGAGCAGTTTTTCTTTCACATCCGACCTTTCATAAAGAAAATTTAACAATAGCAATCCAAATTTTATTAGCAAATGACATTTCTCTGGATTTAATTTTTAAAAATAATTTTAAAAAAAATCTGTAAAAAGGAGATTACATTATCTATTTACTAAAAAACTTAATTTAGTGAACAGTGAGTCAGATCTGGAGAGTGGATGTCGGGGTGGCACAAGAGGTGTTTTCACATTGCCATTTTGGGCATTACTGATTCTATTTCTAAGTCGCTGAGAAGAACTAAATTTAAGCTCTGTTTCAGAATTTTTAACACTCTAAAGGGCTTTATTAGAGTCCATAAGGATAGTATTGGTCATGACTTTTTATGTAATGTTATCTACAAAATAAACTGCTCATCGTGCGATGCTTTATATGTTGGACAAACAAGCAGAAAATTACGCAGTAGAATTTTAGAACATCAAAAAAATATTCTTTCTAATTGGAACTGTCAATCGGTTGTAAGCAAACATTGTATTGAGTTTGGCCATGACTTCTTGTAGAACGATGTAAAGGTTTTGGACACAGAACGCTTCTATCAAAGAAGATTACTTTCTGAACTGATTAATATCAAGTTGCAAAAAAACAGCATAAATTTAATGATGGATACGGAGTTTCTAGATCCGATTTATACTTCATTACTTGAAAAGTTCGGCAGCTAATTACGTGTGCCTCTCCTACCATTCTTGACGTTTTTACCTTTTTTATTGCCGACTGCATCTTGACATTGCCTATTATTATTGATGTGTCAATTGTGATGGTTGCAAGCCTGTGCGGTTTTTGATGTGCTACGCATCAGTAAGAGTTAATTTGATAATCTACCAGTTATCAGTGAGTTTTTCTAGGACTTTATATCATTTTTTCATGCTTTTAGTGTTACTATAATCATTGATTTTTAATGATTTAAGGATTTTTAACTTTTGACTCTTTCTTTTTTGACAAGCATTTGTAGTTATTTAAATTTGTTTTTTCCAATTGATTTAAATTATATCTTTTGACAAACTTAACTATACTTATCCTTTTCATATTTGCTTAGTTATTATGGATACGAAGATGACTTATTAATTGTCGATCTTTGTTTATCTTTTACTTGGCTTCTTTGTGTCGTGGCATATTGTTTGGCTGCTTGGTTTCCAGCCGTTACATGGTATGTCTTAACGGTATATCTATGTTGTTATTTGTTTCGAATTGTAAATACCAAAAATCAATTTCAATTCTTATAAATTATTTGTAATAATTTTTTATCGTAGTTTGGCTGTAGATGATCGCAAAAATATATGTGATCAAAACGTTCCTGTTTATTTGAAGAACACAAATTGTGTTTTTTTATTACTTATTACCTGACCACCACCTACACCTGTGGATTACAACGGCTTATTGGTCTCATTGTGTTGTTAAATTTATTATTAGCCGTTTATATGTATTTTTTAATTATTTATTAATTACATAAAATGTTCCAATTTTGTATACTGTACAACAAGGATTATATTCACAATATAAAAATAAAACAACATCAACAGTGATACATACGTAATATGAAAATAAACGTACACCGTGATACGCATGTTTTACAAAATGTAACCGTATGCGCACAAAGCAGCTGGACTGTGGTTTATGTAGAATGGCCTTTCCGCGCAATGCGGTAGCCAATCACCATTTTATTCTTTCATGAAAAAACAGCATATTTTTTATAGAAGCAAAACTGCTTATTGGTTACCGCATTCTTTTTGCGAGCGCCTTAAGGAAGCCAAATCACTTTACTGTGATAGTCTGTTCACTAAGAGATGAAAATCTAAACGGACAAAAACTTTTCTGTTTTGCGCGTATCTCCTACCAGTAAGCTTTCCACTTTATTGCTCAAAAGCTGTTAGCGGGTGCGGATAAAGGAACGATCATCGCTATTTTTTCTTTGTCCGTTTTTTTTCTACTATAGGCATGAAGCTTTTCTTCTCCCATTGAACGGACTATAGTCAGTTTAAGCCCGTTCTACATTGATCACAAAAGATAAATTGCACGATCGCATTGTCAAAAGTAGCAAGAATCGTTTGATTTGAGCATCTACATTAGTCGGAAGTTACAGCCAGTCAGCATAGAATAAAAAATGCCACAAAAGTGGAGAGCTCAATGCTTATTTGCTGTCGCAAGATCGCAGAAACGTAAACTTTGGGTTTTGGCAAACTTCGCGACTTTTGCTTGCGACGATCTTACAGATATCTTTTCATATATGCAGCACGCTTCAGCAGTTAACATCACGTGACCCAAATTTGTTAAAACTGCTTTTGCTACTTTATCTCATTTGATGCCATTTTCTGCGTTAAGTTGATGGAATTTTATATAGTACTATTGCACATAAAATTCCATCAACATAACGCAAAGAATGACATCAAATGAGCTATAATAGCAGAAGCAGTTCTAGATAATTTGAGTTACGTAACGTTTGCTGCCGCAGCGTGCTGCGTATATAAAACGGTACCTTACAACAATCGCAATATTGAAACTAAGAATGAAGAGGCCACTAAGAGCCATCTAAATAGGCCAATACGAGCCATTCCCAGGATGTTGTGCAGGAATAAGCGTGCATGTGTATATATATATACACATGTATGAAATTCACATGTAAATTATTTTTACATGTGGGTTTTTTGAATTGAATTTTTAATTCATAAAATCATATAGGATGCTAGATTTGCATCTCGTATATGAAAGATCCCAAATACCCCCCTAACTAATTTGAAAATATTGCGAAAAAAACTCCTCGGCCAGGAGTCGAACCTGGAATCTCCGGCTTTCCGT